GGGGGGGGGGGGAGGAAGAACTCCTCTGCAGGGAAACGAAGGCCCGGAGGGGCAGCACAAGCATCTCCCCCATCCGACGCCGCTCACCTTCTGCCTTCATGTAATGCACGGAGTAGGCGATGACTTTGTCCGAGTTGTAAAGTGGCCTCTCCCAGGCCAGCAGGATGGCCGAGCTGGACATGGTCTCCGCGTGGACGTTGCAAGGGGCGCTGGGCCGGTCCTCAGAGAGAACCACCGTCAGCCGGGCCTTCGAGAGGATGCACCCTTGGCTGTTCTCTGCCATGCACTGGTAGATGGCGTCGTCTTCGGGAATGATCTGGTTGATGACCAGTTTGCTGGACCGGAAGGGAGGAGGGGGACGTTACATGGAAGCAAAATAAAGGTCACGCACATATACAACTTGACCTGCCTGAGCGTCAACAAAGGTCTACCAAGGATCAATCCAGACAGGACAGGGGTCGACTGGCTGCTAGGACACAGCTGGGAGTGTGAGGACCACCTCCTCTGGATGGGGTCTGGTTGGCAGCTGGGGGGGGGGGCTTCTGGCCCTGACGCTATTTCGTGGGCCTCTCTGGCTGCCATGGATCCAACTTTGGCCTCTTCCTGCTCAGACGCTGGCAGGACAGGGTGCTCGCCCTCCTGTCCACGGGTGGGGGACCACCTGCCCCCCCAGCTCCGTCTTAAAATCATGTTGCCATGCCAAACAGGGCCTCCCATGCTCAACAGCGCTCCCTCTGGCCCCACGGCCACCCATTCCCCCCTCAGGGCTGCTCAGGGGCCACCGAGGCGCCACCTGCTCTCTCACCTGTTGTACATCTTAATCCTTCCATTAGAGTGGATCCGCCTGCCGTTCTTCAGCCAGGAGACTTTGGGGGCTGGGACACCCTCCGCCTGGCAGGCAAAGCGGGCTGTTCCCGCTCGGGGCCTCGTCAAGCTTTCCGGCCACTCCACAAACGAAGGAGGAGCTGCAAGGGATCGAGCGAGCATTGTGGGGGGGGGCTGACTATGCTGAAACCCCCATTCTTCTCCCATAGCCCTTCTGCCCCTTTTCAACCCCCCCAAGACAGCACTGGCCACAGGGCCCCTTATGAATGTTGCCCGTCAGGAAGTGAGATGAAACGTTTCCAGGAGAAGCTTCCCTCTCTCTCTCTCTCTCTGTCTCTCACTCAGCCCGAAGACTAGCAACCATGAGGACCCCCCCTCCAGGGGGAAGCAGCCCCCCCAAGGAAGGAGAGCCTGAGAGCCACAGGCCATTGACATGTGATCCCGCCGGGGACCCACAATGGGCAGGTGTGACATTTAAATCAGGTCCATACACAGACAGGTTCCGGCTGCCGTGCAACCTGGAGAAAAGGGCCGCTGGATTTTCGCCAGCCAGCCAGCCTTGCCGGCCGAAGCGGGTTCTGCCACACACACACACACACACACACACCCCGACGTCTGGTTCAAGCCACCAGGGTTTGGATCAGCAGGAAGGCTTCGACCCTGATGGCCTCAAGACAGGACGAGGAGCCACTCCGGCCCTCCCCTTGGCTGCACCTGCACCCCCACCCGCCCCACCGCACCCCATAAGCTTCTCCATCCGGCGCTCACCGAGCACCACGAGCGCAGCCATGGCCGTGGTGAAGTTGCGAGTGCCGGGAATGGTGGCGCGGCAGATGTAGACGCCGGCATGCTGCCCTTTCACGTCCGAGATCATGAGGTTCCCATTTCCGAGCACCCGGGTGTTGAAAACATCAATGGACTTGTGGTCTGTTCGGGAGAAACAATTCAGCGGTCAGGCACAGCCTCACTACAGAAACCATCAGCCCCTGCTGGTGTGGGAAGGCATCCAAAGCGTGGGAAGCACATGGATCTTTGCTCACGTCTTCTTCTCTCCCCCAAAAGCCCTTCTTCCGGGCCTTGGAAGTTTTCATGTTCTGAACTACAGTTCCCAGAAACACACACCCACACCCACACCCACACACATCAAACCCATGTTCTGAGGCTCTGCCTTTTCATCCCCGGCAGCCTAAAGAAGGAGCCTGTCTCTCAGAAGCTAAGAGCCAACGGCATGTTTAGGACTCACCTAAGCGACTCCAGGAAATGATAGGTTTTGGATTCCCTGTGGCGACGCACTCAAAAATGACGGTTTGGTGAAGAGAAGCGGTGACGTTCTGAGGAGCAGCGATGATGGACGGCTTGTGGAGAAGCTTCGTGTTGGAGGCTTTTTAAAACAAAAGGTCACCCCAAGGGGTTAAAGGCACCTGCCCAGCTGGACAGAGGGATTAGACAGACATGTAGCCTGATCCGCTTAGGGCCAGGCCTGGGGGGGGGGGAAGGAAGGGACAGGTTTCAAGGGAAAAGTCCAGGTCCTCTCGACCTAAGAGTCATTGGGTGCCTAAGCCTTGACGCTGGATGACAGCATATAAATACCTGCATCTAAGAGAACCTTTTCTGGGTACCTGGAAGAACTGTGAGTGTCGCCTCAATGCTCTTCCGCCTGTTGGCCACGGTGGTAGCAACGCAGCGATAATTTCCCGCATCCTTCTGTTGGACACCATAGATCTGCAACACTCCAGATGGTAATGCAGTTATTCTGGAAAGCCGGGAGAATGGGGAGTGAAATCAGGAGAGAGAGAAATTAAACAATTCATTAGATCTGGGGGAAAAAAATCACAGGAAAAGTCAAGTTTTGAAGCACATACCAAGCACCCCTCTCTGAATTTCCTGGCTCCCATTTAAGAGCCATGAATTTCACTTTCTTCTGTAATTCTCAAACTCCCTACCTTGCATCTGGCAACACATCTGGTTACTTTTTGAATCTCAATGTTTGAACCTTTAACTGAGCAAACAAGGAATCCGAGGGCCAGGCTAGAGGCTACAGGAAATTTTACAGTTAGCCGTTGCCGTTCCTTGGGAACTCGAAGCTATCAGGTCGCAGTCCGGAGCCTTTCAGCTCCCTGGGGAGCAACTTACTTTATTCTGTGATGGGTCATTGAGAATTAAACACCCACTTAGTCTCTATTCTGACCACCCAGATGCACTAACGATGGCCTTCAATTTCTCTGCCCCCCCCCAACGGCCAGCAAGATATGAAGAAGACGATGATGATGATGACATTGGGCATGGCCCAGAAGGGTCCGTTTGGATCCCAGCTGAGTCTTGGGCCTCCGAAGCCCTTTCCTCTTGATCAAAGTCACGGCACAGGTTTGAAGTGTGGGGTCAGCGGTTCTTTACCCCTGGCCCTTCAAAGGTTGGGGACCTCCGCTCCCAAGAGCGCAGTCCGGCCGACAGCCAGAGGTTCCGGGAGCTGACCTTCAGAACTTCGTTTGGGGACTGCCAATGGATATTAACTGGGAGCAACCCAACCTAAAATGGCCGAGACGGTCTGGGCTGGTCCAAGGAGAAGCGGCACCTCAGCGGAGCAGCTGCACTCCCTTACCTGTCCGTGGCGATTGGCAAAGTCATCCGGTTCACTTCCCACGTGATGATGGCAGGGGGGTTGGCCGATATCTTGCAGGCGAACCGAGCCACGGTCCCTTCACGGACCTCGGCTGAAAAAGGCTGAACTTCAAACGCAGACATGGCTGGGGGGGGGGGAAGAGGGAGAGAAAAAGGAAGGCCTCAGAATGAATGAAGAACACCAGCAAAATCAACACATCCCTGCAAAAGCAAAGGTTTGTCCACGGACGTTGACGTTTGAGAGGGCGCTTGGCTTTATGGGGAACCGAGGACTTCTTAGGCGTGTCTGACGGTACCCGAGGTGTCAACACAGTGGAATGGCGTCGCCTTGCGTATCGACGCCAAAGGCTTAGAGGTCAGTCGGGCCTTCTTAGCAGACTGGGCCGATCTCGAGGTTGGAAGGCGATTCTGAGAGGGAGGGGAGGGATCGGTAGTTTGCACCTGATTCAAATCCACAACCGCACGCTGAGGTACTCTGCAGAGGTTTTTCCCAGAGGAAAGATCGTAGCCATTGGATACCAAGTTTAAGCGCTGGTTTTGTAAAACTTTTGCAGGCCTGGCACACGAGGTCGCTGGGCGTGCCTCACCTAAGCAGAAGAGGCCCCGAGGATGGCTGCCCGCCGGATAAGAGTTATTTTGTTCAGGTGAGACTTGCATCGCCTGAAGGGGCCTGAAGAGGCCCTGAAAGAGCAAAGGGCCCAGGTGGGAAAAGGGCAGGAAAAGAAGAGTTCTCTCTTCTCTTTTTTATTTGTGGAAGAGAAAAAAACTTGGAGGAAGGTCCTGTAGGAGGGATCCTACGTATGTTTTCCTTTCTTTTACAGAACGAGCGAACAAAGCTGCTGCTTTGAGCAGGGTGCGTGCGACAAGAGGGAGGGGGTCCTAGTGGACAGGTGTAAAAGTCCCAGAAGTTTCCGAGAGTCTCTATGCAGGCGCACTGATTTCACCGTTGGGTGTGCATTCACAGAGACCGGGAAGAAGAACCCAGGGTACAGGCGCCTTTCCAGGACGCCGGCCTCAGAAATCAGGTGTGCTGTTTAGAAGCATAAAGCGATTTATTGATTAGCCTCGCAGATATTCTGGCAACGAGAGGCATGTTCTTTTCAACCTCTAGTCCGGAGCACTTCTCTCTCCTGGAGCGTGGCACTCCCCGCATTCAATGCCTTGGAGGCTTGCACCCACCGTTCACACTCGGAGAAGACCGCCTCTTCTGTTCAAAACATCCCTCCAGCCGGATGTTAAAAGGCACAGCAACATTCAGGGACGGGATCTCCAGCCTGGCTTCCGCTTCTCAAAGTCAAGCAACGGAGAAACATCTCACAGAGCCAGAAGCCAAAAATGGACCTCAGGATCAGCGGCAGATCGAAATACAACCAGGCAGGGAGAATCCAGTGACGGGTCAGGACCGGCCAGCCGGAGGTGGTGGGTGTGGAGTTTGCAGCTGGCCTGCTTCCTTCCACCTGGAGGCTCTTCCAGCTGTTTCCAGAGGGACGGGCAGGTAGAGATCTCTCAGAGGGTCCCCCAACTTTGCCTCACTTTAGGAAGGAAGGCCCCTGATGGGTTTACTCTGCCTTTCTGGAGGTTTCTCCTCCCTTTAGCCTGACTGTTTAAATGGAATTATTTGAGGGTTGTATTATTATGGGGGGGGGGGAGGGCCAGGTCTTCTGGGCAGAAAGGTCATTTATACATGCCTCGATGAATAAAATTAAAATCTTAATATCGGACCTTACTGGCCGCACTTGGCAGCCACTGCCTGAGGCTTGCCCTGCTCTCGAGGTGCTCCCAGGAGCCCCAAAGACGGCAGAGGAAGAGCTGCGTGGGAAAGCAAGGCCAGCCCACAGGGGTCTGCGCGGCCCTCTGCCCACTCCCCTCCCTCATTCCTTCCCTGTTATAAGAGGAAACGTAACACAGAGAGAGAGAGAGAATCTGCTTTAGAGCAACCTGAATCAATCAGTGGCACTACTGTAACATAAATACGGCGACTGATCGCGCTGTTGCCGTTGTGGAAGGTTAACATGTTTTCCTTGTCTCTCCGGAGTCCGCTTCACATCTGGGTTCGTTCAGAAATAAAATACAGGCCATGTTCCCTGACGAATCCCTCGTGGCGCTCCCTGCCTGGAGAAGGGGAAAATCCACACCGCCCAGCATGGCTTCGGCCAGAGACCAGGCATTTCTTTTTCGGGGGGGGGGGACCCGGCTCTGAGAGGACATGAAGCAGCACTGGCTGCACCCACCCACCGAACCCCCTTTCCCCTCCTGGTTCGCTCGCCCTCCACACCCTCCTCCCCCTCCCAGCTTTAAGACCGCAGCTGTCCCTCACCACACAGGAGCCAGGATTTGCACTCGCTACCAGCAAGAACGGTAGACATCGTTTACTCAGTTTTGGTCGATTCACCAGGCTGTCGTTGTTACTGAATTAACAAATTATGTGCCATCATGTCACCCCCGACTGATGGGTGACCCTACGAACAAGCGGCCTTCCTCCAGTCGATCCGCTGAAACCCTTTTCAATCTGCTACGAAGGTAACTGGGCCGCACATTTTATGTGAATTCATTTTACGGCCAAAACAGAGTCCCACCCGGTGGGCCGCCTCGCCCAGCAGGTGGTTGGTTTTCACACCGGCCGGCCGGGCCCACCCTTCCTCCCTGCTCCCTCCTGTTCAAGGCCTTCCCATCTAAACCAGGCGGCTGAAAGGCCCTTGCAGGAAGCCAGCTGGGGGCTGCAGTGATGATGGCTAGCCCAAGAGAGAATTGGCCATTTGGGTGGGTGGGCTGGTGGCACAGAGGGGGGGGGAGTCCTGGGCTCTGGGAGGAACCCCTTCCTTGTGCCCAGGCCAGGACGTGGCTGCCGCTCTGCCTGGAGCCAGCATTTCTCAGAAGGATAAGCCAGCTTGGAGGGGCCGGAGGAGGATCGTGCCCCCTGGGCTGCTCTGGTGGAGCTCCTGTCCACGTTGGCCAGAGCAAGGACTCACTCAGGACCTTTGTGAAAGGAAGATCAAAGCATGACGGACTCTGCCTTCTTCCAGCACTGTGTTTTTCTTTGAGCTGTGAAAAGGCATAAATCTGCCTTGCGCAGAGAGGTAATTACAGAAACCTTTCATCAATAAAAAGTGGGGGGTGGGGGAGGAAGGAGAGAGAGAGGATTCTCAATGCACTAATGAGAGAGGATTCTGGCCATCTGTCCCTTCTGCTTGGCTCAATTCATCACCTTTGCCCTTGACAAATCTTGCCTGGCTCCGCCAGCCGCTGAGCAACACAGGAAGGCTGAGCAAAGGGGTGACAGGGACACACAGAGGCCCCTTCCTTCCGCCCCCGGGATGGCCAGCCGGCCAGCCCCCCAGCAAACCTCTGCAGGGCTTAAGCCACTGGCCCACCAGAAAGAGAATGAAATTCAACTGCTGGACCCGTCAGACTGCCACCAGGAAACAAGAGGGAAGCAGAAGGAAACGGACGGTCAAGGCGAGGCCTCCCCCTGCCTCTGGGGGCAGGACTCTCGCATAAGCCCCCACCCTGTCAAAACTCTGGCCCCTTCTCTTCCAGGGCGGGTTGGGGACGCTTGCCCGGGCAGGAGGCCATAGCGGCCAGAAGCTCTGCGTGTGTTGATGCCGCCTAGAATGGCATTGGCCCTTTTTGCTGGCGCATCACACCATTGGGGATTTTTACGTGTCAGGACGGTCAGGTAGGGGGCCACCCTTCCACATAATAGTGGCAAAAGAAGGGCAAAGAACGGCCAGCCCGTGGCGCTCTCGGAGAGGACTTCCCTGTGGTCAGCCTCCACCCCGAAATGGGGGTGTTGGCTTCATGGCTGTGACATCACAGCCTCAAAAGGAACGGGGGCAAAAACTAAGATCCCACCTGTTTTCCTCTCAGTTCCAAAGTTGTTTTCTTCCTTTAACACAGTCACCTGCTTCATACACAATTTAATACAAGGAACTGTATTATTGGACACGTTCATGAAATTTAAAAATATAAATCCTTTTGTTTTGTAGAACTATGATTGTGAAGGTGCCCTCTATGAAAGGTGGCACTAGAAAAGGCTAACCGCCTGTTTCACAAGCCATAAAGGACTCTCGTGCCCCCCCCCATGCCCATGAAATCTTGGGTTTTGAAAGGCAGCCCTCCTGAGAAATTCCCATTGGTTTTGGCTGTGTGTGTTTGTGTGTGTGTGTGTGTGTCTGTGGGGGGGGGGAAGCCTCTCACCCCCATCCTTCTGGGCACAAAACCAACCTGCATTCCTCTGCCTGCCCACCAGCCATGGCAGAATGTGTGCCCC